AGAGCGTGTGCAGAGCAGGGGGACGTGAGCAACAGTATTAAGAACCGCTGCTTTAAAACATTGATTTTGAATCTTGTGAATCCATTAGAATCGTTAGAAGTCAGAATCGCGATTCATATATGAACAGATTTTTACGTGCACCCCTAGTTTTCTCTTCCTCTTCTCTAAAGCATGGCCTAGCCCCCTTCTTGCGTGTTCCCAGGGGCGGGGTTTATCTGGGTTTGTGATGTCACAAACCCGGGAAGTAACTCGTTGTAGTCCCTACCAGCCGTTTTTGTAGGCATTAAACTGCCAGAATTTTAAAAGCCGCACCTTTGCAAATATTGTTTATGCTCAAACAGCAACATTACACACTTTTTAACTTTAAAAAAGTGAAATCGCAATCAACCACCCCTTTAAAACATGTGTTTTATTTATATTTATGATGGTTTTGAAAACTTTTATACCATTCTCAAGAAAAGTTTTCCATTTAATGACTCAAAATTGCATATGGTGTAACCATCAAGTAAAACTTAATAACATGTTTTTCTTACACCTTGAATTATTGTGAGTCTACACATCTTATTCTTTCTTTTGAATTTTTTTAAACAAATATCAAATAATTATTGATTCATAAATATCATGCGTTTTGGGGAGTCGTACCACATGATATTTGACAACCTCAACTAACCTGGCCATGTTATGAAATATTTCAGGACACCTTTTGACCTTGACACACAGTCATGATGTCATTTCCTCTTTTATTTATTTTTTTATTTATTGGTTTTCTGGTTGGTTGCACCACATGACTTTCATTTGAGCAGGCAAATGTTTCTCAAATATCAGTAAAGCAGTGAAGCATTTTTGTATTCTTTTTTTAAAGTAAATAATTATAAAAGATTCTGCTAAACAATTATGGAAAAGTTTGGCATAATTAAGTTTTCTATGACAATGAGTGTTTTTTTTTTCTTTTTCTTTATGATATTAAAACTCTGAAATATTCGACTTTATTCCCTTAATAACAATTCAGAAATTAAAAACATGCTTATAATAGTAGAGGTTTATTCAAGTCATTGTAATTGTGTATGCTTAAACTGCATTTGTTTCTGAATAGCGCCATGTCATTGACCCATACAGTAGTCTTACTGTGATGTGTGTCTAATCTTTCTGCAAATTCATGCCCTCCATCATCACAGTAAGCCACAAATGAGTCAACGGCCGAGGACTCATAGACGCCTGTACAATTTAGTTTGCTGGAAGAGCTGCACTCCATCAATTGATCCAGCACATGTCCTTAATGTGAATTTACTTTGCAATAGCTTTTAAAGCCTTGTTCTGCTCTCGGTCCCCGAGGGGAATCTGTCACCGGTGTCTGCTTTGTAGTCTGCTTGGTGTTTGCCGCTCAAATCTTCAAAGTGACCTACATCTCAACCCCTTTGGACTATTTGTCTTCTTTGGGCTTCAAATTTGGCTTTTCAAAACAACATGTTGTAATATGTTGTTTTGAAAGGCCAAATTTTAAGCCCAAAGAAGACAAAAGCAGGCCATCAGGTTCGGTTTGGTTTCCCTCGCCTAAGTCTTCGAGAGAGCGTGGGTTGTGGCATGGCGTTCAAAAGATCAGCCTTTCAATGTCGATCTGCCAGATATCCTGCTTCAAAAAGACTTGTGTATCAAATGAGAAGAAAGTGAACAGCCGACAACCCCTACAAAATAATAGTAAGTGACAGGAAGTGGGTGTGCGCTCGAATGTGTGTGTTCATGTGGACCGACAGGAATTTGCCATGTGAACGCTTGAAGATTTAAAAGCTGCGGTGTATTCCCGCCGTGCACAGTGTGAAAAACAGAGGAACGTTCGGAGGACATCAGCGGAGGCTTGTTTGGTGGAGAACAGTGCCTTTCCATGCCCACTTCAATCCCCTTAGTGACAGATCAAGATAACTCATTCCCAAAGCAGTGCGCCGCATGGCCACTGTCCTCTACTCAACATGAAATGCACTCATCAGCATTACGATTGGCTTCTGGCTTTTTACATTTTCCCTCTCCAGAGCTTGACGCTTACTTTTTTCCCCAAGGAGCACATTACGGAACTTTAGAGGTGCAGTGAAAATGTATCAGATAACGTTGTTTTCCTTTATGAAGGGATGCAAGGAGATATTTAGAAGGATTTGATTGCTTAAAATGCAAAATAGGTTTTAAAATATTTCTGCTACAAACTGTTTTTAATAATTACTGTATTATTAGGCCTATACACAGACCTTATGCGTCTGAGAAACAAGTGTGCATCCATTTTTAGAATTTTTTTGGTAACACTTTATTTTAAAGTGTCCTTGTTACATGTTACATACATGTACTTACTATTATAATAACAATTAATTATGCATAATTACATGCACGTAACACAGTAACAGTACTTAAATGTATAATTACACGGTAGCAAGGACACCTTAAAATAAAGTGTAACCAATTTTTTCTTTGAATTTCTGTTTGTTTGTTTTTCAGTAGCTCTATAGCATCACTACTGGAGAGTAATTAGCTGGTGAAGTGGATTTATTTATTGTAGAGTTAATGAAAGTTATCATGTGCATTGTAATGTTCGAAGCGGATGTCATAAATGTCAGACCGGGAAGATTTTTAAAACGAGTGGTTCATTCATAAATTGGTACAACCTTACCTTCACGCTGTGGAAATACGGAATACAGAAGACAACGAGCGCAGTGCTGAAAAGGGGCGGAGCTACATTAAGTCTATAGGATACATTGCATAAAAATGAATACATAAATATACATCAGCCGTGTTCAAGAATTTTCTGTCACAGACTGTGTGACTTCGCTACTTCCTGTTTTTTCCTGCAACCAACCGACTAATTCAGATATGGTCGACTTTTTTCAACTAACATGTAGTCAACTATTAGGGGGCAGCCCTAGTTTTTAGTATTTCCTTCTTGTGACGGGCTACAAGAAACATAAGTTATAAAAGTTTACTTTCAAGTAAATGCATGAAACAGAATGGCAATAATAACCATTAAGAAAAAAAGTATTTTTGTCCTATTTTCCATTAAAAATATCTAAGCATTCTTAAATCAAGATAAATTTACTTAACAAGCAAAATGGCTTGAGATATAAAGTCTTATTTTCTAAATAAAAATAAAAAATTTGATTAGTTTTTTTGCATTAAACAAGAAAAAATATCTGCCAGTGGGGCAAGAAAACTAACCTTGTTTTCCCTTTGAATTAAGTTTATTTTTCTCACCCTATTGGCATATTGAATTTTAATACAGGAATTATAAACAAGCCTGAAATACACACAGACTCCCCTAGTAAAAAATTTATATATTTATTTCATACCAAGTATAGTTCGAATCTATTAACATATTTACTGACAGATAACTCAAAACTTTCTGATATAAAAATTACCCTCAATAGCAGCAAAAGTGTTTTGCAATACAATATGAACACAATAAGTACACTGTACTTGTTTTTTGATGTAAGTACATAGTAGTTAAGGCCACTTAATATAGGACCAAAATTATAATTAGACTTTATTTGGCGTACTACTTGTGCACAATGCACATTTCTTAATATTAAGTCTAAAATGTGTTTTAATGTCACTTTTGATGAGGATTGTATGATCTTTGAATAGTATCGGTCTTTAAATGCAAAATATTTAAATATTTACCTCAAGTATACTTGCAATAGTTCCACTTTAGCACAATCAAATATACTATGTATAATATCTTTAATTGCACTTCAGCACTGCTTCAGCACAATTAAAGTGCATTAAGTGCAAAATTACATAGTTGTTCCACTTTAGCAGACTTATACCAGTTTAGTATACTAAAAGTACAATTGCAGGGTATTTTATTAAGTACATAAATATGTAAATGTATTTGTAGTATACTTAGCATGAAATAAATGTATTTCAAATACATTTAAGTATATTTATATATTATGGAAAGTCTATACTATCACGGGATGCTCACTGCAAAACATGTTAGGGATAAAATATGCACTCTTACAACTGTCTTCAGCATGGTACAGTGCAAACACCATGAAGAGCGCAGCAGCCGGAAGTGGTCGTGCAGTTTAACGTGATGTTCCTCTGCTGTCTCACCGCAGGTGCTCTGGCCATATTGATCCCGGAGCTTGACCTGGTCATCTCTCTGGTGGGCTCCGTGAGCAGCAGCGCTCTGGCCCTCATCATCCCTCCCCTGCTTCAGATCATCACCTTCCATAATGAAGACATGAAGCTCTGGGTGATGGTCAAGGACATCGGCATCAGTCTCATTGGCTTTGTGGGCTTTGTGGCGGGGACGTACATCTCCATCCAGGAGATTGTGGCACGGAACAGCAGCAGACACAACGGCACACACCTGCAGCTGCTGTGAACGCCGAGGGAGCGACAGATTAAATGTAGGCCGTGCAGACCCACTGAATCATTTACTCACTACATGCTCCTTTGATTTCTGCTCAATTCCGCTTGGGATTCTTCTTTCTGAACGTCCGTAGATTCTTTGTGTTTTTGTCCTTCGGTTTTTGTAGCACTGAAGTCTCTTCATATCGAGTTCCCAAGTTACTTTGGCTTCAAGGAACTCATTTTTACTAAATCTTTTGGGTCAAACAGCCTTTTATCCCAATTTTAAGATGAATATTAATGGAATAATATCTATATTGCTCATTTTAATGTCTTGTTTACAGTGTTTCAATGCCACAAACAGATTCCTTTCACATTCATTTAGAATGAACAGGTTCACATGTGTTGTTTACTCATTCTGAGTGGTTGCAATTGGAAAGAAGTGACATGAACAGTAATTTCTGTTTGTAACTGTGTTTTTGTATTCTTAGAACTCTTGTTTGCAAGACAAAAGGCGAGTTATTTGCTTCTGCATATTACACACAGACTCAACCTAGACTTGATTGTAAATATGTGGAAATCCAGTCAAAGTACACACGTTTGCACAATTACACAATACCCAGTACCTCTCAGTCTCAACCAATCAAAAGATTAGTCAGATCAGTGGACTTTAAACTATTTTATCTGCACTGTGTCAGCTGTTTAAGTTTTTTTCATTGATTTATATTTTTAAGTAATGTTTTATTGGTTTCTTTTATTTGTGCCATCTCACACATCAAACAGTCTTTTATATTCAACAGGTGCCGTCAGTGAGTCATCTTGCAGAGAAATCTGTTGATATAACTTGATTTTTTTATTTATTTTTTCATCTACCAGCTGTAGTTTTTTGTCAGTATCTACATATGGCCAGATTTCATTCCAGATGTGCAGTATATAATTGTTTTAAAACAGGCTCCAGATCTCATGATGTTTAGCACACAAAACACTTCAAGTTCAGGCAAACGCAACAGAAGTGTGTTTTAACTGTATGCATGTTGAGTAACTTTAATTTTAAACACTTGTACTGTTGTGTTAAACACTTTTTACTGAGGTACTTGAATTTAATTTTTTTTTTAGTTGTATGAAATTGCTATATAAATATATATATATATTGTTGGCAGTGCCAAAGTTATCGACTGGAGGTTTTTTTTTTAATATAATTTACGGTAATTTTTTTGTAATTTTTGTTACTTGTTTTGACTTTGTGATTTCATGGATTTTTGCCTTATTGTACATATGCTGTAGGTCATTTATTCATGCTCGCCTTGTTGAAAATGAACATACCTTTAATACGTTAAAATAGATTAAATATGAGAAGCATATTACTAGTTCATTTATTGGTTGATCATCAACATGAGAGTTTCAAGGTCCACCTGTTGAGTTGCGTCATTGTGTGTCTTTCTAGTTCATGTAAAACAGCAGGCCTTGAGAGCTGCTATGTGCTCTGTGTTTGAATTAAAGAACCGATAGCCTGTCTTGATGTTACTGCCTCTTCCTCAGGTGTCATTTTTCTCACTGTGTCTTTTTGTTGCAAGACAATGTTTTCCAACCAACAGTATGCATGCTGCAATGGTACTTGGAAAGATTTAGCTTTGTTAAAAGTACTTTTAGAAATTTTTGATAGGGCAACACTTTGTAAAGGTAGTGCTTGGTTTGCCGGTTTATAAAGACAGAAAGGAAAGTCAAACCAGGTTTGTATCTGTGAAAAGCTCAGATGAATTGAACACATGCAGGCATTCCTCTAGTTCACATCGGTGGCTAATTAGGTAGAGGTGCTTGTCTGTGACATACCAATAGAGAGTGCTGGGTAGTAACTGATGATCAGATTCGTAAAAAAAAAGTGCCTTTAATTAGATTATATTTCATTTTAAAATAATCGTAATCAGACTACAGTTACTCTTTTATTGATTACATAGTAACACAATAGCAAAGAATTATTCATAATTTATTGATTCTCCCTAATTCTTTTTTTTCATCTTTTAAATTTACATTTCAAAAATAGTCTATAGCTTATATGCATTCAGAAAGTCTTCCAGTTTTGTGGACATTGCTGACTTGTGACTGATCTTTGTGTCAGTGTTAGGAAAAGGTTACTTTGGAAATGTAACCAGTTACAGATTACATGTTACCCTATTTAACATGTAATAAGTAGTGTAACTTTCAATTACTTTGTTAATGTAACTGATTACATTTGATTACTCAACTCTTGAGATTGAATGCCGATTTGAAATCATAACAAGAAATAGTAAATATTCATACAAGAAATATTCAGATGTAACCCCCTTTGTAATCATTAACATTTTCATAACTGTAATTTAATTACATTTTTCTCAGTAACTGTAAAAGACTACAGTTATATTTATTTTGTAATTAAATTATGTAACGCTGTTACATGTTCAGGTTGATCTACAAAACACAGAAAGGCTACACAACAGTTGACCGTTAATTTCATGTTTTTATGATTTGGTTAATTTACTTTTTTTATTAAATTCACAAACCCCAATCTGGGAAACCTTGATATAATGTAATGTCTAATGCACTTCGTGTTGTTAACAACAACGAATTAAATATATGTTCTTTCTCTTTGTATTTTTATATCAATATGGTACACATTTATCCTATTTAAATCAGCATGGTAAACGAGCTAAAAAAAGTAATCCAAAAGTAGTCTGATTACATTACTTAAAATGTGAAATGTAATGGATTACGTTACAAACGACAGTTTTTGTTATGTAATTTGGAATCAGTAACGGATTACAATTTGCCAGTTATCTATCTAGCACTGCCAACAGAATATAACTTATTGTGAGGGAAAATTTGTTGAGAAATTTCATCACTGAATATCAGTGTGCTTCGGATGTGTGCACTCAGAAAACCTTATATCTGAAGTTTAAACTCATATGGTTTAAAACTCATGATTTCAGCGGGATAAACAGAACCAAAACAGATGTTTTTAGCAGGTACGAGCTGTAATGGCGCAGCCCTATTCTGGAAAAGGGGGCGGGGAGCAGCAGCTCATTTGCATTTAAAGACACAGGCCCGAAAAACAGCGTGTTTCTGCTTCCACTCAAAATAGGCATTTTCAAAATGTTATAATAAATGATCTGTGGAGTATTTTGAGATGAAACTTCACAGACACATTCTGGGGACACCAGAGACTTATATTACATATTGTAAAAAGTGGTATAATATGTCTCCTTTAATAATCAAGTCCTCAATTGAAGACGCCGGTGATACAAAAGAGACATAAAAGTAGTGCTGGTTTCACTTACCCGGATGAGTGCGTTAATATGCAGCACAGTATATTAGTTGAGCTTGAATATTTGAAAATATCTGACTGCTGAATGACGCCATTGACAAATCAGGTTTTCGAGAGAACCCTGTAATAAGCGATTATATCCTATCAAACTTGTGTTACAGGTGCATCTCAATAAATTAGAATGTCGTGGAAAAGTTCATTAGTGAGTTGGTGGGTTTTTGTTAAATGTGAGCCAAAATCATCACAATTAAAAGAACCAAAGACTTAAACTACTTCAGTCTGTGTGCATTGAATTTATTTAATACACGAGTTTCACAATTTGAGTTGAATTACTGAAATAAATGAACTTTTCCACGACATTCTAATTTATTGAGATGCACCTGTATTACATATCGTGATGGGAGAAACAAGACTTTTAGAAACTTTGAATCAACTGAACCAATTGCTTCACAAAATTATTTACTTTTTCGAAGTGCTCAACACACTGGTGATGGTCAGAACAGTAGAAATGCAATCTCAAGCTCATAAATGCATAAAAACACCTTTTGCAAACTAAAATTTAATTACACCTAACACGAATAATATGAAGTGTCTGTATAATATGTTATTTTATTAATTTGTAAAATAATGCAATAACATTAGCTTTGTTAATCAGACCAATAAGCTCTCTTTTTTTTATGCAAATCTCTCACTAAAAATATCTACTAATTTAATCCGAGATAATGTAACAACTGGTTCCTTCACAGAGATCACCAAAATAGTTATGGCATTTCAAAAATAGTCATTTCAAAATAGTTATGGCATAATGAAGCCTCATTTACTGAGATCACGTGACTTTGGTAGTTTTGATGCGTGCACTGAATGACTGGTTTAAAAAACGACTTGCATATTTTGAAAGCCCCCATCACACAATATCATATGATATTAGTGATGGGGCTTTCAAAATTGCTTCGTCAATCTTTGCAAATTGCATGTGTAAGTATTTTAAAGTTTAATATTCCAGTGAAATGCCCTGCCCCATAAATTTCCACTGTAAGTACATCACTGTGAATGTGATCTATGTACAATGATTTTCTGTAGTAATGGTGTTGTCGATAGAGCTTAACTTGCATTGAACCTGGAACAATCAAGCATGTCTAACCAAATTAATTACACCGTTGACCCATCTCTTACACCTTAACCTACCCATACAACCAAACCTGTTCCTAACCTTACCCGTATCGCTCAATAGCAGCATAGGTTTTTTTCAATACAATATTAACACAATAAGTACATTGTACTTATTTTTTTATTTAAAGGTCCCCTGAAATGCTTAGAAACACGCAGCGTTAGTCTGTGATGACGTCATTTTAACTGAAACAGGAGGACAGGGCGGGACATATCAAGCAGCCCCGCCCCTTTTTAAAATAGCCAATAGCGTTCGTTTATATCACAGCTTGGGTTAGAGCCGTTGAGCTCCGTAAAGCCGCATTTGACAGGGTATGCCAGCCACAATCTCATCCATATTGCTATAAAATATAGCATTCTGTGTAGAATTCAAATAGCTCCGATACATTTTGTGGTCTGCGCCGACTCGCGCATGTGATCCGCTCCGTGCTATCGTGTCTCTGGACCGGAGCAGAGTGTGTGTGCGGTGCTGTGGTTAGCATGACACAGCGCGAAACCAGACTTCTTTTTTTCCTCAATCGAAAGCATATTTAAACTGTTTGAATCGTTCCCTGTCCCCTATATAGTGCACTACGTGCCATTCACTGTACAGAAAATACTAATTCTGTGGACAAGTGACCGATTTCAGCCGCGGCTTCAGCGTCTATTTTATAGTGTAGGGGGCGGGCGCTTCGGATTCTAGAGAGCATTTGATTGGACAGAAAGTTTGACGAGAAGCTGAAGTACGATGTGACGTCAAACAAATCGTTGAGCCGTTTTGGCGGAAGTGACGACCTGCAAGCTTTGAATGCTTATATCTTCTAATGCGAATTTTGTCACCGTTTTGGAGGACACTGCCTTATAGATAACCTTAAGACTAACATATTGATACTAACACCCAAAAAACTTTAATTTTGATTTCATGGGGACTTTAAGTAGTAGTTAAGGCCACCTAATATAAATTTGTGTGAGTCTCAGCATCTGCGTGATGTTTCCCTGTTTTCATCTCAAACCCTGAGGCATAAATCCACCATCTACAAGCTATTTGTCCTCACTGACCCACAAAGCTCCCTGTCAGAGATCTATACTTCTTCTTCGGCTGAACCTGCTCTGAATGGATAATGATGACTGGCAGCACACCATGAAGAGAAGTGCCCCGGGCAATTGTGTGTTTCTAGACTTGTATTTATTGTTTGTAAAACACTTGAGGCACTGAAAACAGCATG